TGCCTATCCTGTTCCTGTGGTCAGTCACATCCTGGCCTCTCTCAAGGGGGGGCGTGTTTTTGCAAAGCTTGACCTAGCTCAAGCATATCAACAGCTGCCTGTTGATGATGATGCTGCCATAGCTCAGACCATTGTGACCCACAGGGGAGCCTTTAAAGTAAAAAGGCTACAGTTTGGAGTGAATGTCGCTCCTGGGATTTTCCAAAGCGTAATGGAAAACACACTACGAGGTATACCAGGGGTCTGCCCCTACTTTGACGATGTCTTGATTGCAGGAGACTCCACACACATTCTAGCTGAAAGGCTGAGGGCTGTCCTGTTAAGATTCAGGAAATCAGGCCTCAAGCTCAGAAAAGACAAATGCAAGATTGGGGTGCCTTCTACTGAATTTCTGGGATTCAAAATTGATGCTGCTGGGATTCATCCTGCTGAATCCAAACTAACTGCTATTTTAGAAGCACCCAGGCCAAAGTCTAAGGCCGAACTTCAGGCCTTCCTAGGCTCCTGAATTTCTACAATTCTTTTCTTCTACATAAAGCTAGTGTAGCTGAGCCTCTTCACAGGCTACTAGACAAACAAGCTGTGTGGCTGTGGTCACAAGCACATGAGGCTTGCTTTAAAGAAGTCAAGGCCTTGCTCACTTCTAACAGTGTTCTTGCACATTTCAACGAGTCTCTTCCTGTGTGCATCGCTTGTGATGCATCCCCCTACGGGGTTGGAGCTGTCCTGAGTCACCTCAGGTCTGATGGAACTCAGGTTCCTATTGCATACTACTCCAGAACATGTCTTCTGCGAGCGCAACTACGCTCAGATAGACAGGGAGGCTCTGGCTGTTGTTGCTGGAATTAAAAAATTCTACGATTTTCTATATGGCAGGCATTTCACGGTCTTCACTGACCATAAGCCTCTGCTGGGACTGTTTACCACACGTAAGCAGACTCCCCACATCATTTCCCCTAGAATGCTTAGGTGGTCTATATTTTTGTCTGCATATGATTTTTCATTACTCCACAAGCCTGGGAAAGAAATGGGCCATGCTGATGGCCTCAGTAGGTTGCCTCTGCCAGTAGTAGAAGCTGACCCTGCGCCAGCTTCAACATTCTATCAATCCAAGCCTTGCCCGAGCTCCCTCTTAGTGCCAGGGATGTTACCGCTGAAACAGGTACAGATCACACACTTTCACGTGTCCGCTCCTGGGTCCTGTCCGGGTGGCCTGAGCACTGCCCTAGTCCTGAGTTTCAGAGTTTCTGGTCCAAAAGGAAACGAACTGTCCCTTTCTCAGGGTTGTCTGCTTTGGGGAAACAGAGTTGTCATTCCCACCTCAATGAGGACTAGGGTCTTAGAATCCCTCCACGAGGGTCATCCTGGCATTGTTCGTATGAAGGCTCTTGCACGAAGCCACTTGTGGTGGCCTGGTTTAGATAAAGATATTGAAGCTAAGGTACACGCATGCCACCTGTGCCAACGATCTCGCCCAGAGATGCCCCAAGCTCCTGGCATAGATGGGAGGAAACACAGTCCCCATGGTCTAGGGTGCACATTGACTACGCTGGGCCCTTTCAGGGCCAGTTCTTCTTGGTCCTTGTTGACAGCCATTCAAAATGGCTTGAGGTTGTGCCTGTCTCATCCCCCACCACTGCAAAGACTCTTCAGGTACTGAGGGGATTTTTGCTGCACACGGGCTGCCAGATGTCATTGTGTCCGACAACGGCCCTCAATTCACCTCCTCCGAATTCCAAGCTTTCTTACAGGCAAACCTGATTCGTCATGCCACGTCTGCGCCTTTTCACCCGTCCACCAACGGTATGGCTGAACGCATGGTGCGCATCGCAAAGGACGCCTTTAAGAGACTCACCTACGGGGACTGGCATCACAGGTTGGCTGACTTTCTCCTTTCTTATCGCACCACACCGTCCACTTCTACAGGGAGAAGTCCAGCTGAACTTCGTTGGGGGCGCCAACTTACTACTAGACTTGACCGGTTGCATCCGGACAGACTGCCTTCATCTACCTCACATCCTAGGGCACCTAGACAACTACTTGTGGGTGCCCCGGTTTGGGCTCGCAATTACGGGCCTGGTCATACATGGGTCCCCGCTTCTGTGTCCAGGATCACAGGTCCTCTCTCCTACGAGGTTGCCCTGGACAACGGTCGTGTCCTGCGTCGGCACATCGACCAACTTCGCTCTAGGCGAGACTTTTCTGCTGAGACTCCTGGGTCTTTTCCAGGGGGGGAGGGGGACCCTTTGGAGCAAAGGGAAGGGCAAGAGCTACTGCCCATCTCCACTGAGGGAGCCACAAACGGCCCATCCCAGGATTCTGCAATTGCTCCGAAAAGGAAGTCATGGAGCTTACCCACACAACAGGCACTCATGCCTACTCCAGCCAGGGAGTCACCCCGGGGGCATACTCACTTTCCACATACGTCACACAGCACTCCAGTCACGGAGGATACCCGGGGGCATCCCAACAAATCATTCCCCACAAGAGAGCTGGCACACAATTCCCAAGGTTGGCCTGACCTTACCCCAAATCCTACAGGGGGTCAAACATACACAGAGCTAGTCGAGGAGCCAAGTCCCGACTACAACACCCATAGCACAAATCAGGGAACACCTGAGTTTTGGGAAAGTACAGAAACCCACACGAGCCCGAGCACAGAATGGGGTTCAGGGAATGGACAGCCTCCTGACAGGTCTTGGACTGACCTAGGAGGTTCTACAGAGACGCCCAGCAGTGTCTATCACTTCAAGGGGCCTGAGGGTCTACAGCTAGGTAGGACAACCAGGTCACAAAGCAACAAGCCCTGGCCTTGAAATGAAACGAGCCCTGTGGCAAGCAAGCAGGCCAAAAAGGCACGTGGCACAGTCCTTGGAAGACACCAGGGCACAATAGAGAACAGGCTCACGCCTCCTCCAGTCAGGGGACTTATGCCAGTAACCCAAGCTACGAAGGTCACAGAAGCAAAGAAAATCTTCCTACGTATCTAGAAGATTACATAACATTGCTGGCAAGGCAAAAGCCATATCAGTGGGCACTGGGGAGCAAATTCATATAAAATAAATTTTGTATGTTGGTAGTAGTTGTAGCCCGGGGGAAAGGGGTGGTATGTCCCGAGCCTTTGCAAACGGCTCGGGCGTTTGCAGGCAGTCCCGGGCAGGTGCAAAGCTGCCCGGGACCAGACAGGCTGTCGCCAGCGCCGTGCGCATGCGCGGGTGCTGGCGCGGGAAAAGTAACCCATTTACCCGGGAGTTGCCTATATAAGAGGATGCGAGGCGTTTGGGCGAGGCTGAAGCCATCTTCCTGTAAGCTGAACGCTGAATAAAAGAAACTGAGAACTCCAGCTGCTTCTCGTGTCTGTTTTCCCGCCACGGACTCAACAGTTACTGACCTATCCTTGTGAGCTGAGGAGGTTATTTAAGGTTGATTACATGAAAGAAATTGTTCTTTGGTGTGAACTATCATGTTACATAATTTAAATAGATATTTAAATATTGGCTTGTTTATACTGTGATTTTCTGCACAGTTTTCTGCACAAGAATAATTATACTCTTCTAAACCAAACCAAACTGTCAGTTACTTAATTCAAAGAACCTGACATCAGTGGCTGAGAGAGAGAGAGTGACTGGCTTTTGTGCCTAAGGCAGGACCAGAATGCACAGTTTCCTGGTTTCTAGCCTGGTGCTTTAACCACTACACCAAACTGGCTCTCATCTTGCACACATACACATAGAATGTAGGATGTATTTATCTAGGGATTAAAATGACATGTATCACAGAAGGCTGCAGAAGACTAAAGCGATTATGAAAATTGACCACACTGCCTTCCATGAATAGAAGTAGTGAGGAATAAGGAAAGAAGGCAAACCCATCACTAGCTAGAATCCATTTGTTCCTGTCTGACTCTGATTTTTCATATATCTTTTCTTGCCAAATCAGATTAGAATCCTAAAGAAAACTCTATAGAGAGGATTTTTTTTCAAATCAAACACAGTACCTCTCTTATACTGATAAATTCTGTTTAGTGTTGACTAATTATGGACGTACTTAAAACCATGGCTATTTACAATGCCACAATGATTATAATACCGCAATTTCTCCATTTTTATACCACATACTCTCATGTCTCTTAGTTTTAAAGTATGATTATAGATTACTGAAAGGAGTCACTGAATACAAAATGAGCCAATATTGCCTTTAGTTCCCATATTTACAACCACAGCACTGATAGGTTCTGTTATTTTGGTCAAAATAGTAAAACCAGTGGTGGGATTTAGCCAGTTCGCACTAGTTCGGTAGAACCGGTCGCTAATTTTTTGTTGCCCAGACCCAGAATGAACTTCCTGAAACAGCATCCACACAGAGAACCAGTTGTTCACATATTTGAATCCCACCACTGAGTAAAATCAACATGTGCCACCATGATGCACATATAAAAAGGGTAAAGCTTGAATCATAACAGTGCAGGGTTTTGTCATTTATTATTTGTCTCCTCCTCCTGTCTCTGTCCACAAGATATGCCTAATAAATAAAATAACAGTGCCTTAAATACAGTTGCCCTGACATTGGAGACACATGTTCATTTGCTTTGAACTCAAAGAGTAAGATACTAGCAGATATCAATCACTGGAAATTCTGACATGTCTGTACCAAATGTACTAGTTCCTTACTCTGAAGGTATTTATCTATCAATTTTTTGAGAAAAAAATATTTTAGACATGCATTTAAGTTGATATTTAGAGTTATTTTGAAACATCTCAAAAGTAATGTGAACATGGACAAGAACTTTGAATTTAAAAAACTCAACAACTACAAATGTGGCTGAGAAATGGCCGGATTCATCTACCTCACACTAAAGTGAAATGAGACCCCAGATAGATGTTGCACTGCTTTCAGGCTTCTACATGTATTTTTAAAGGGATACTTTAAAAATCAAACCAATCTTTCAAGATGATTCAATATCCAGTTCATTACTACTGTTTACCCATTTTCTTATATAGGTTTTGGTTAGCGGTGGAAGATCTGAAGAAGAGACCCATCCGCGATGTTCCTGTCAGAGTACAGGAAATCTGGCAAGAATTCCTGGCCCCTGGAGCACCAAGTGCCATTAATCTAGACTCAAAAAGTTATGACAAAACCACACAGAATATGAAGGAACCAGGACGATATACATTTGGTGATGCTCAGGTTGGTAGAATTGTTTGTACAGATACGTACAGTGTCTTGGTGGAGAAGTAGGGCTGTGAAAAACTGTTTCTGGCTTTACCATTCCTTTTTTAATAATATTCCAGATTAATATTTAACAAAGAGCACTATATGCATGCAATATCCTAGAAATTCAGCTTAAATTCTGTTTTAATAACTTGCTGCTAATTAAAAATAGGTTTGTGCCAATAAATCCTAGATATAATTTCTCTGAATCAACAAAAAAATCTCTAATAATAAAGTTTCTTAATAAGCATTTCATTTACTGTGGTTTATAGGCTGACCAAGTTAATTTACATTCTAGAAATAACTATGTAAGTAATGGAAACATAGTATAACCTCTCCCCCTTTCAGCTAGGTGCACATTAATCTTAAGCAGCAAATCAGCTCCTAAAGTTTTGGGAATGGCCACAGAACTACTCCAAACTGTAACTTTTAATGCAACAGAAGGTGAAAGTATGATGAAGGCAGAGTAGTGTTGTACTAAAGCAGTGGTTCTCAACCTTTTTAATGCCGCGACCCCCAACCAGTCGTAAGTCGAAGACTACTCAACCGGTCGTAAGTCGAGGACTACTCAATTGGTGGAGCACCGCTTGCAGAATGGGACTTTTGGCGGGCTCAGCAGGGCAGAGACAGCCTGGACAATTCCTATTGGCTTTTGAAAGCCAATAGAATTAGACTCTATTCAAGAGAGTCTCTTCTATTGGCTTTCAAAAGCCAATAGAATAAAAGGGAGTAGCACAGCTAAGGAAAAGGGAGAAAAAATGGCGGACTGCGTTGTTTGGCGACCCCCGTGAAATGGTCCTTCGACCCCAAATGGGGTCCCGACCCACAGGTTGAGAACCACTGTACTAAAGGAAGCCCTGCCTCTTTATACACATGATGGAGCTTGTGTCAAGATGCCACAGTGCTCTTTTCGTCACTTGTTTGCCCATCCCTCTGAGAATCCCTCTGGCTAGGGAAGAATTTGATTAACCTGAAATAATTCAATGTAATTTAAAATGAAATAACACTTTCCTTTTATCTTGATAAATGCTCTTTGGCTCAACATTACATCTGTCAGACTTGTCCGAATCTAAACCCTTAGGAAAGAAGGACCCTCAGCTCCATTTGGTTGAAGTGAAAGGTTCTTTTATTATAAAGATGTTGGCTGTAGTAAAGCTCTGGGTTTCCCACACTCAAAGGATACAGAAAGGTTTCCCCTCATCCCAGCCTTTCCCTCATTACCAGTCCATCTTCAGCCAATCAGAAATTGCCGAATTGTTTTGAGAATGCTGAGGTGTTTTGGGGTAATCCACATTCTTTCTCAGAGTGCCTGGCCTTGGATTCTGATGCAAACTGGTTCCAAGCTTCTATGGTCTTGATCACCTACCATTCCCCCCTCCCTCTTTCCCATCACGTACACACACAGCTTTATTGCCTATCTATCCTCCCTCCCCCTTCTAAGCCTTTGATGACAGGGTGCCTTTGAGGTGCCAAGCTGATCTTGGCAGGCCTGACAACATATTAATCTGCATTGAAATAAATTTTCTACAAAAAGTCAATTTTCATAGATGGTCTTTCATCCAAAACATCACATGTTATTAGCAAATTGTTCCCTTGAATTGGGATATGTTGCTTTGGATTTGGTATTTGACACTGGCGTTACCTATAAAAATGTTAGGCTGTTCTACCCCAAAATGCTACATGCGCAAGAAACTGAGTACAAGGAAAAGGTAGGACCTGACTTCAAAATATAAAACCTGTAGTTTTATACTCACATAGTTTTCATAGTTGTTTTATAGAAAGCAAGCTACTTAATTAATCCAAATCACCCTAAATCACTTTGACTAAAAATATTTATTTCCTCAAATGAATTGGAGAATATATACCCAAATTCAATCTTCTCCAAGTGTATAAACTAAATCAAATTAGTTGTGCATTTTCTAATTATAGTAGTTGAACTTCAGGCAGCTGTCCAGAGACATTGGCTGCAGCTGCCTGAATCTTATTGACAAGGCCCAGAAATGTAGAGTGACAAAAGATTATTTAAAAATGCATACAAACTTTTCTACTTGCTAAAATCTATACAGAAAATGCTAATAGTTTTTCACACCACTAGATGGCTGTCTATATACATATTTTCTATACCAGCTGTCTTGTTGGTCTCCGTAGGTTTGCATTAGTGGAAGTGATTGGATAGTGCAGTGTTTCTCAAACTTGACAACTTTAAAATGTATGAACTTCAACTCTTGGAATTCCTCAGCCAGCATGTCAAGTTGTCAGGTTTGAGAAACACTTTACTATCTTTGTTTTTCTGAGATACAGTTCTGTGTTTAAGACTATAGGCTGATATGAGCTATGTGCTTAAGCACTGCTTCTTTTGGTAGCTGTGTTATGTGAAAAATATCAGCTGGCAGCTGTCTAAACAGAAGTGCTACTGTTTAAAAATGAAGAAGTCTTTTATGTACTTTTTAATCCTGTTGCACCTTTAAAGATTGTAGAAATCCTCAAATGTTAACTTAACGGGTGACCACTTGGAAGGAAGACTTTCCAGTAGCCATTTCCAAATTGCCCTATCCTTTGTTAGCTTTTCAGCACCAGGGAAATACTTAAAAAAAACCTCTTACCTTTGAATGCTTTGTATCTTTCTTCTCCTGCTCAGTTGTTCCTTCCATCTTATTACGATGTCTCTTTTAACCTCTGTTTCTGTTAATAGATTATTTTATTTACTTTATAATTATACAAAACTCTGAGTATTTACTTATTTCAGAGACTTATAAGAAATTTATAATACAATGACATTAAAAAGATACCCATAAAACTAGAAACGCAAATGTATCAATAATATCAATGTGTGTAT